CCTATAGACCTTTACAGATTTCGCGGTTTGTTTATGATCACTGGAGGGTCTTCAGCTTTTGCTCTTGCTGTAGTTATCATCATCTGGCTCCGGGAAAGATGGGAAGATCTTATGAGTTTCATCAACATATTTATCTCGAGACGACTTGTACATCTCAGGATCCTCTTGGCAAGACCTATCCATCCCAACCCCCTCTATGACATCATTGGCGAGAATGCGGTGCAAATGGCTCAACATAACATGATAATAGGAGCTGATTGAAACATGGCAAAGGGTTCATTACCATTTTTATATAGCATCTCTAATACAAGTGAAGTGGATGGTCCTTGTAACAACCATGTCCCTAGGATCCTACTTTCAACCATAACAACATTTCTCTTAAATCCAATACTTCCTTTATTTCAATCTTAATCGTCTTACAAGTAACTAAATTCAATGAAAACCGACTTACGTAACAATAGTTTAAGAAAACGTAGTGAAAACCCTTAAAATGAAACTGAAATAGATGGCACCATCCCGACTTCTACTCCTGCACCTCCTCGATCATACCTGCAAGAAGGAGGGTGAGTAATTTGGATTACTCAGTGAGGGTAGGTTCTAGGAACCCACAAATTCATCTCAGATCACATAACACATCAAGCACAAGTCATAAGTTAATATCACCTAGCATTCATCTAACAAGATTCTCTAGACTCTCTAATCCACAAGTTCTCAAGCTAATCACTATACACCTCATGACCTTACAAGACTTCACCATTCTCTGCCAAACCGGCACTCGCCAACCGGCACGCCAAACCGGCACTCGCCAAACCGGCACGCCAAATTGGCACTTCGTCACACTACGACACAACCTCACATCTCATCGATAAAATCATAACACCTTAGTCTCATCAACAATCAATCTTAACCAGGTTCATTCTTATCATTATTCATTCTTATCACACAACCGGTCATCCTTTAACATCCTATTATGTTCTAGGTTCTTTACTCACATCATCAATCAACGCACTTCCATCACATCAACACAAACAAACACTAGATCTAGGTTAACATTAACAAGGACTAACTCCCTGAGGTATTATACAACATGAGAGAAGTTCACGACCGGGTCCTCACCTTAGCCTTTCTCGATGTCACAGATCCAGATCCAAAAGAAGACGAACGTTGCAACACAACCACAGCTCTGTACTTTCACGCTCAATAGAAGATGGGAAAAGGGATTTGGAATCAGATCTATCACCCCCAGTGATAAACCATAGAGATGAAGAAAGGAAAACACAAGATCTGAGGCATACCTTACAGATCTAACTAACAAGGAGAATGATGAAGAAGAAGAGGGGAAAATTGGTGGTGGTGACTAATCGGAGATGGCGGCCGGCGACTGGAGCTAGGGTTAGGGTGACTTGGGTCTTGACGGCTGACGGCTCGGGATCTCTGCAGAGCTTCGCTTCTATTCTTTCTGCAGAGAAAAATAGGAGGAGGCAGCTCTTTAAATAGGAGAAGGGATGTAAACCCTAGGTTTTAATCCTTAATGGGCTGTAGACAAACCCATTTACCTTGTGAAAATTTTGGGCCGGTAACGGGTTGTTACAGTTCTGTTCTTGTGTTTAGTGGGACAAGTGAAGTGGATGGTCCAATGTCTCTTGTGTGTTGTTGTGGCCAATTCTTTAACTTACACAATTGCTGTCATTAGGGATGTTAATTGGGTTCAATCTAATAGAGTTAACCATAACCCTAGATCAAAATTTATAGCCTAATCATGACTTTAGAAATCTGGCTCAAAAGGGTTAGCATAAGTAACCATGAATTAGGTGTTTTGCCCGCACATGCGGGCATGATTATCTTAGAAAAATATTTTTTCAGTGTACAAAACTTAATTTTTAATTGATTAATATTTAATTATATATTTTCCGATTTCTATTTTTTATGATTGAAAATATAATAGTGATAATAACACAGCATATTATTTAGAAATTATCTTTTAACTATAGTTGTTATGTATATAAATATTGTGTTAATTTTAATTATATAAGTATATTATATAAAATTATTCATTAAGCGGATTACAACTTAAAAAAACGGAATGCAATGAACTTACATTTTCTTGTCAAGCACTATAAAATATACTTATATAAAATATAAAAAACTTATGTTTTAATTGAAAACACGAGAAAATATACCTCTTGATAAAATTACTTCTCCAAACATTTGGCTAGTTTAAATTTTAGCAAATTTTAAACGTCGGTTTATTTGAAGATATAAAATTTAGCAAAAAAATAATAGTTCAGTAACATTAATTTTCATGCAAAAATAGTTTAATTTTTTATTAAGGTTATAAACAACATCAACCAGTCTAACTTTTAATATGTGAGCTCAAAAGTTAATTCAAAATTAGCATAATATGTTATTACTTACGATTTCAAAAAAATTAATCAAAAATAAAATTAATTATAAATTACAACACTCACATATCAAAAATATTTTTAAGAATATAATCAATTAAATGTTTTTGTTTGATTCTATTTAGTTTTAAATTTTGAAATTTTGTAATAGAAAATATAGTTTCAAGATAACAACATAATCATAAGCATTACTTTTTTCTAAAATTAAAATATTATTAATAGAATTTGTTTTAGTTATATAATAAATTATATATAAAATTATTAAAAATATTACAACGCTCACATATCAAGAATATTTTTAAAAATATAATCACATATTTTTTTTTTATTTCTATTTATTTATAATTTTTTATATTTAAATTTTTAGAATAGAAAATATAGTTTCAAGATAACAACATAAAACATAAGAATTAACTTATTTTCTGAAATTAAAATATTATATGGAAATTTGTTTTAGTTATATAATAAATTATATATAAAATTATTAAAAACATTACAACACTCACATATCAAAAATATTTTTAAAACTATAATCACATAAATGTTTTTCTTTGATTTCTATATAGTATAGATAATTTTATATTTTAAAATTATAATATAAAATATAGTTTCAAGATAACAACATAAAACATAAGAATTATCTTATTTTATGAAATTAAAATATTATTAATCAAAATTTATTTTAGTTATATAATAAATTATATATAAAATTATTAAAAACATGACAGTACACAAATTTACCTAAAATCACAAGGAAAATACATTAAAATTATCTTGTTTTATTTCATAAAATATAATATTATTTATAGAAATTTAGTTTTAAATATAATAAATTAATATATATAATAAATATAATAAAGTATGAAAAATCAGTTAAAATTATTTAAAATCATGTAAAAGTAGATAAATGAGTAAATTATAATATTATTCATATAAATTCGTTTTTATATATACTAAATTATATATGAAATTATTAAACATATGACACATAAACAATATTAGCTAAAATCATGGAGCATGTGACAAATCAGCAAATTTACTTCTTATATAATAATTAACCATGAATTTTAAGGGTTTCAAGTTTAACTCATTTATTTTTCTTCACGAAATTTTGACAAAATACTTAAATATATGTTAAAATTATAATTTTTTTCGATTATGAAAATCTGAATTTTTTCACCAAAATAAAAAAAAACGAGTTTTTTCATTGAAATCTCAAAATGATGTTTTGACCAATCCTTGCTTGTAAGTTGCAGATGTAATACATTGGTTCTCACACTGATCAATATGCCATGTAATCGTTTCGTATCCCACACCACAGTCCAACAACTTGTCACTTCTTGCCATGTAGTTTCTTATTCCGTTATTGCCGTTGCCTTGCAACACAAGACTAGGTTATGAGAACATTAGAGCATGTCCATTATGGGTTTTTAAGGGGGATTCACACGTTTTTCGAGGCAAACAGTGATGAACCCGCATCATCAGAGCTCGCCGTGGTGAACTTGGATCATCATGGATTCGCCACGTGGCGGGCCATGATTCGCCACGTGGCGGACCATGATTCGCCCAATTTTTTTTTTTTTGTTTTTTTAGAAAAAAAAATCAAAAAGTTACCTAAGAACTCGTGCCCAGCGATTTCTCTGATGGGCATGCTCTTATGATCCTGATAAGACGAGTATGTTACTGGTTTCTTTCCACCTTCCAAGTACTCTAGCTCACATGTCTCCATTAACAATCCTCCATTTTGCTGAGAAAAGTAGACGCCTCATAACTTGCTTATGACCGGCCCTGAGATATAAATAAGTGAGAAATTTAATAATAAAAAATTACGACCATTTGGGATTTTTTTTCTGGACAAGGGATTTTTTTTAATTTGAACCTACTTTTCAAGCTCCTCCACCTCAGACTTACCAGGCTCCTCCTTGGTCCTTACTTTGACGAGTGATAAAAAAAAGGTAATGCTGAATGTGACTCATGTAACTCGATCTCTTTCTCCTATGTTGTTAACTAGTGCAGCTTTTTAACCCCTCCACTTCTACTAAATTTCCCTTTGGTGTTGTTGTTGTGTATGGATGACTTTAGCATTTTTTAAGGATCAACCCTACCCAAAACAAAATAAAGAAAATACTCTGAATTTACAGTATATTAATTATATCTTTAATGTTGTAATGTTTTCTTTCTTGCTCCTAGGAAAAAAAATCCATCAAGGTTAGTGTAGTGTGTAGATTACAATCTAAAAGGGGTTAAGTAACAAGTTTGTTTTTATAATCGTTGACAAATATTGTTGCTAAAATTTGATCTGTTCAACGATTTTTTTTTAAAAAAAACAATAGAATACTCATTTTTCTTACTTTTGTTTGACTTAAATCATTAGTAAAATACCATAGAATTTCTTAAAATAAAAATATGAGTAACAAAAGAGTAGCCAACCTCGACCATACGAATATACTTTGTATTATAAATTTATAATCTTATTCTAGTGGAATAAATCTACATGATGAAAAACAAAACACGGCATGGGTCGGCTAGAATCAACTGGTTGTGTATATAGTAGACGTGTGTGTGTGTTTCTCCTTTGCAATTTGAAACTTCTTTTTAATGGAGAGGTTTGGGATTCAAAACCAAACTCTGGTTTCATTTCTTCTTCTTGTCCTGTTTCTCTTCATCCCCAACTGTTTTGTTTTCTGTCAAAACGACGACGTTAATGAAGACTCCGGGTCCCAGCAACAACGGGTTAAAATCCGGGTCGGGTTGGTTTTGAATTTGGGTTCCGTGGAGGGAAAGATAGTGGCAAGCTCTGTTTCCGTTGCCCTTTCTGATTTCTACGCCAATAACAATGATTACAAAACAAGAGTCTCTCTCTCAGTTAGAAACTCTCAAGGGGAGCCTCTCCGTGCTCTTGCTTCTGGTAAAAGTGATTACATTCTTCCACCTTCTTCTTTCTTCTCTGTCTCTATTCATTCAAAAACTACATATGTTTCTGTTTTTTGAATGAAACAGCTGTTGAGCTGCTGGAAACTGTAGGAGTGGAGGCGATTATCGGCGGGAACTCGTTTCTTGAGACGAAGTTTTTGGCGGAGATTGGAGAGAAAGCTAGGGTTCCTGTGATTTCACTTAGCTCTCCAGTTTCTTTGTCAATGCGCAAATACAGTCATTTGATCCAAGCGACACATGATTCGTCCTCCGAGGCAAAGGGCATTACAGCTTTCATCCACAGTTTTGGTTGGAAGAGTATTGCTCTTGTTTATGAGGATGACGATGACTGGAGAGAGAGTATGCAACTCCTGGTGGACCATTTTCATGAGAATGGTGTACGTATTCGATCCAAGGTTGGTTTAACCGTATCTTCAATCGAGGAGGTTATGATGGATCGGTTAAGGAAGCTGAAGGACTTGGGAGGGACTATCTTTGTGGTGCACATGTCTGAGGTTGTTGCAACTCATCATCTCTTCCCATGTGCTGCAAAATTAGGGATGATGAGTGAAGGGTTTGCTTGGATCCTTACTGCCAAAAGCATGAACAGTTTCAATCAGAACACTGATAATTTTGCAAAAGAAACAATGGAAGGTGTGGTTGGTTTTAGGTCTTACATCCCATTTTCAAAAGAGCTTCACAACTTCACTTCTATATGGAGGAGAAAATTACTAGGCAGTGAGGACAATGTTGGGTCTGAGATAACTCGGCTGAGCATCTCCGGCGTATGGGCTCACGATGTAGCCTGGGCCCTGGCGAGAGCATCAGAAGTTACAAGGATGCACAATGCATCATCAACTCTCCTTGAGGCAATCACTCAGTGTAGGTTCAAGGGTTTGAGTGGTAACTTCCAAATCAAGGCTAAGAATTTCTTGTCAGACAAGTTTGAGATTGTGAACTTGATAGGATCAGGTGAGAGAAGGGTAGGCTTCTGGAATACTAATGGCTTTTTCAGCAGTGGAAGACATTTGTACAACAAGGTGGACACCATAATCTGGCCCGGTGTGTCTGCTCAAAGTCCAAAAGGGCGGAGACTAGGAGAAAGCAAGAGAAAAACGCTGAGAGTTTTGGTACCATCTAGCAACAGATTCCCAAAACTAGTGAATGTGATGACTGATGAAGTAACAAAAAAAATAATTGCTGATGGGTTCTGTATACAAGTCTTCCATGCTTCCATTAGGCGTTTCAACTATGATGTTGAGTACATACTTTGGCGCAATGGTAGCAACTATGACGATCTAGCATATGGTCTTAGTAGCCAGGTACTAACCATTGATCAGTTTACGATTACAAGTGTTTTTTTTCATATATATAGAGTGGAAACTGAACCAAGTCCACATTTGTGTTGTATCCCACAGAAAGACAAATATGATGCGGCCGTGGGAGATATTACAATAACTTCCAACAGATCGAGTTATGTTGCTTTTACGATACCATTCACTGAAATGGGTCTTGGAATGGTGGCACCAAAGCAGAGTGGTATGTGGGTGTTCTTTCAACCCCTAACACCAGATCTTTGGATGACAAGTGCAGCTTTCTTTATCTTGACGGGCACTATAGTTTGGTTGATAGAAAGACCTGAGAACACTGAGTTCCAGGGATCTTGGTCACAACAAATTGGAGTTATGCTTTGGTTTGGCTTCTCCACCCTTGTTTATGCTCACAGTAAGTACATCTATTCACATTCTTATATATGTCAATAGTTTGACCAAAAAAAAAAAAAATATATATATATATATATGTCAATAGTATGGTAAGAAAAGATTGGAGTGATCCTTTAAAATAGTTCCATCACCTTTAAATGTTTATCCTGACTCTCTTGTTCGTTCTTTTTTATGGCACTACTTCATATGGGTTCGAATTCTTTTGTCTAATGCTCTCTCATAAACAAACCGGGGAACCTGTAAAGGTCTAATAATGTTGATTGGATAATATAAAACATAATGCTTATGCTAATGATCTGTCAATCAAAGCCTAAGTCAATATAGTTCTTATTAATTTTAGTTGACAAAAAATGGTTTTCACATTTTGGTGCCTTGCTATTTGTGACAGGGGAGAAGCTAAAACACAACTTATCAAGATTTGTGGTTACAGTGTGGGTATTTGCAGTGCTTATACTGACTACGAGTTACACTGCAACATTGACATCAATGATGACAGTGCAACAGATAAGATTCAACTCCAATAAAGACTTTATAGGGCACCTTTCAGGATCACTCATTGCAAATGCGAGCCTGGCTAGTACCAACATCAATGCAACGAATGTCAGAGGTCTCAATAACTCTGCAGACTATACTAAAGCCTTACTTAACAACAGTGTCGCATTCATTATCGATGAGTTGCCATACCTTAATGTCCTCCTTGGAGAAAAGCCTGATCATTTTCTCATGATCAAGCCACAAATTACCACCAACGGTTTCGGATTTGTATGTGTCCTTTTTTTTTATCTTGATCTTCTTTTTTACTTGCTGACAAAAGGTGTTGGTCATGTTTCAGATGTTTCAAAAAGGTGACGAGTTGGTGCATTTGGTGTCCAAAGAAATCTCGGAGCTAAGAACAAAAGGGAGGCTAAACGAGATGGCGGTAAGGTGGTTTGAGAATCGGCTTCCATACACAATAGATGATACATCAGATCCTATAGACCTTTACAGGTTCCGCGGTTTGTTTATGATCACTGGAGGTTCTTCAGCTTTTGCTCTTGCAGTTCTTTTCATTATTTGGTTAAGAGATAGATGGGAAGATCTTACGAGTTCCATCAACATATTTCTCTCGCGACGATTTGTACATTTCAGGATCCTCTTTGCAAGAGCTATCCATCCAAGCCCACTCGATGACCTCTTTGGTGAGAATGCAGTGCAGATGTCTCAACGTAACAGATAGAAACTGTTTCAAATATAGCAAAGGGTCCATACAAGTGAAGAGTATGGTCCTCTATCTTGTGTTTTGTTGTGCCTAAGTCTTTAGCTTACACAAATTTTTGTGATGTTGTTCGTGTCTGACTCTGACTCTGACCTAGAGCCAAACTGGAGGGGTGGAAGTTAATATTGTAACTAATAAATTGTTTTGCTTTGAATTTTGTTTGTTTTTTCGAAACTGATAGAATACTATAATTCCATTTATTCAAATTAAATCTTATCTTATATAATAAAGTCAACTTTTCTCCATTCTCCTTGTGCCACATCATCATGGAGATGAATCAGCATGGAGATGAGGACAAAAGTTGACACCTCAGCAATTAACCAGTCTAATCAATCAGTAAATGTGATTGTTTACCCGATCGGTTTTCATTTCAATAATTAGTCCGGTTTTGTTAATCTTGTTACTTTCTTGGGCTTGACGGGTTTTGTTAATTATTGAAACGTCCTAAGCTACACCCAAGAAACATACAACTCCCACATGTCATGTCCGTTATGGTCGTCAAACAACAACCATAACCAAAATACCAATATTTAAAATACAATGTAACATATCTCTCACATTAATATGGCAAAGAACACAACTATAGCATATGCCAAAAATAAATAACTAAACCAACAATCCGCACGAAGCGCATACAAACCACTAGTATATATATATATGATGTTTCTCCCATGCTTATCCCGTACATGCATGTATCTTAAGCTAGTGTAATATAATAAGAGATGTAATTTTTGGTTGGATGAGACAATATAGATCGTTTACGCATGTAACATTGTTTAATATATGGTTTTTATTGATGTATAAATGAGAGTGAATAAAGATTGTAGAATTGATTAGTAAGGAGAAGGACTAGGTACGGTATTATATATTAATGTATACATGATTTATCTGTGCATTCGCAGCAACAAACACCGCCAGAACTATAAATTCGACATTCACCTGCTCTTTGAAACCCCATAGCCTCGCATTTTGCCGCGCATGGTGGTGTGAGTGTACATCCCCCCATACATTTGTAGTAAACTCCTTTTATCATAAACAAAAATTAACAATACATAAAGTCCCAAAATAAATCAATTCAATATTTTAACATATTGCATATACAAATAGAATTTTGTTCTTTGTTGAGTGATTTTAGACTTGGTTTAAAAAGAAAAAAGAATAAAAGTGGTTGAGAAAATATGGATTAGCAATCCACAAGCAAAAGAATATGTTTACCTGGAACGGCCGAATCAATGGGTAAAATGATGAGAGCAAACACCGTCACAGAAAGTAACAGAAGAGATGAAAACTTCGCTATTGCCATTACTTTAGTTTTAGTAAATGATACAAGAAAATACAGCCTATATATAAAATAGTTTGTACAAAATACATGTTAGAAGAAATCCTCATATAATAAGGACTTAATAAGACTAAGAATAGAACGAATATCAAAAATAAATATTTCTAATATTTTGGAACTGCTCAAAGATTTAAATTTCAACATTTGTTGTCTTTTGCAATAAGAGAACTTTAACAATATAGATCAAATCACCTTTACTCTGGTTATTTGTTGAGAACTGATTGGGTTGGTCTTGTTTGTGTTTGTATATACACACAAATATATAGAGTTTTTTATAGGTCTTCCATATCATGGTAATGAATTTCTCCATATCATAGATTTGACTGTACATTAACATAAATATCTACAACTGGGAAAGTATTCCATAGTTATTTGTTTCCATTAGAATTGATTGTGTTGAGATGTTAAGTTCTTTTTGATATTAAATAATATAAAGACCCGTTTATAAAAACCACATTTAATTAAGAAACTACGACCCCCTATTTTTCCACAACTTTAAAAATCTTTTTTAAATAGATTTTTTTTAATTTTATTTCCAAAGCTAGAACACATTTAATTTGTTGAGATATTAAGTGAGTTTTGATATTAGATAATATAACGACCCTTTTATAAAAGCACATTTTAATTAAGAAAATAGGATCCCCTATTTTGCCAAAACTTTTTAAACATTTTTTAAAGAAATGTTTTGACTTTTAAAACCATTTGGGAACATTTAGTTTTTTTTTTTTTTTGTTAATGGAAGATGGGCAATATGGCAATACTCCTTTAATATACTATTATTATTTTTTTGGCAAACCAAAAAACTAACAACATGTATTTTTAAAGCATAAGCTCACTCTAATATATAATTAATACAAAATTTAAAAAATTTAATTAAAACAAATACATTTCTATAATATAGCCTGAAGAGTTTTCTGCAAAAAAAACCCTCAATGTAGTTTTTTTTTGCAAATTAAACCGCGAACTAAAAAATCTATGGGCCAACCTTTAAAGTGTCAGTCAAACTGAAATAATAACAAAAAAAGTTATCTGTATTTATCTATATATAATTTTAACATTTATCAATACTACGTCATTTTGGCTGTTATTTTTAATGACAAAAAATTGCGCATGTCTGGGTTTGAACCTTGTACACAATCTACACCCTACATAACCATTTGAGCTAACGAATATATTTATACACTTAACAAACGCAACTATATATATTTCTAAATTCTTTCTGAAATGACCTTGTTTCTTATTTTTTCCTTGGACATGGGAGTTTGTGTAATGAATATGGGGGTCATCCTTAGATTGTTACTCAAACATTTATTTTTCCGGTTCTCTTTACTTATACAGTAAAACTTTTATAAATTTATAATGTTGGGATTTAAAAAATTTATTAATTTACAAAAAATTCCTTATTTAGATTTTCTATTTTAAAATATATTTATTCTAAGATAAAAAAAAAATTATTTTAATGTATAGACATTAATTATTATTTTAAAAAGTTTTACATTCATATTAATTTTATTATATTATTTGATGTATATAATATACATTGTATAGAATTTAAATGTGGTTTTAGATATAATGTTACTAAAATGTCATCAAAAATATATTAAGTGTTAAGAAAATATAAAGATAATTTTATTGTGAATATAAAACAAAAATATAATGATTCTTCTTACTTATATAAATATGTATACATCCATAAATTATTAATTTATAATTTTAATGGGACCATATATTTACATAGTATTTTCTAAAAAAATATTATCTTATTATTTTATCGATCTGTTTCATCGTGGGAGTGGATCATTTCTATGGTCATGGGAGTGCATCATTTCTTTCTGCTTTGCTCTGGCCACGATAACACTCGAAGAAGAACACGGAGATGAGCAGGAAACAAGAATCCTATTTCGATTATTGTTCAAAACATACATGTGAGAAAATAACTACAGTAGAACCTCTATAAACTAATACTCAATAAATAAATAATATCTATAAATTCATAAATTTCACCGGTCCCGAGTTGGACCGGTTCAAAATTTGACACAAATCGATAAAATAATAAGATAATGTTTTTTTGAGAAAATACTATGTAAGTATATGATCCCATTAAAATTATAAATTAATAATTTTATATGTATACATATTTATATAAGTAAGAACCTGTCATTATATTTTTTTATTTTATATTCACAATGAAATTATCTTTATATTTGCTTAACACTTAATATATTTTTGATGAGATTTTACTAACATTATATCTAAACCACATTAAATTCTATACAATATATATATTATTTACATCCAATAATATAATAAAATTAATATAAATGTAATTTTTTAAAAAATAATAATTAATGTCTATACATTAAAATCAATTTTTTTTTATCTTAGAATAAATATATTTTAAAAGAAAAAATCTAAATAAGGAATTTTTTTTTGTAAATTAATAAATTTTGAAATTCTCAACATTATTAATTTATAGAAGTTTTACTGTATAAGTAAAGAGAATTGAAAAAAACAAATGTTTGGGTAACAATCCAAGGATGACCCCCACATTCATTACACAAGCTCCCATGTCCAAGGGAAAAATAAGAAACAAAGTCGGAATAAATTTAGAAATATATATATAGTTGCGTTTGTTAAGTTAATCAATGTTTCTGTTAGCCGAAATGGTTATGTAGTATGCAGATTGTGTATAAAGTTCATGGTTCGCACCTAGGCGTGCACAAATTTTTTTCATTAGAAATTATACCTAAAACGACGTAGTATTGATAAATGTTAAAATTATACACAGTCAAATACATATATACACGGTCGATGATCATATTGCGGTCTGATTGGCACTTGTAGGGTTGACCCGTAGATTTTTGAGTTCTGCCGCCATCTCTTTTTTCTTCCTCTTCTCCTTCCTCTCGCCGGCGCAGTGATAGTGGTGGTGGTAGCTGTGTGGTGTGGTGGTGATCAGATTTCATCCTCTTCTTTCTCTTGTTTCCAGATCTAGATTTCCATATCTCGTTTTCCAGATTAAGATCTCCGGATGTGAGATTTATTTCTAAGGTGAGGTGATTCGAACCCATCTTGCTAATATGTCTAGATTTCCGCATGCTGGAGTTAGGATTTAATTAGATTTTGTTTGGAAATTAGGTTGATAGATCATAAAAGATGCTAGGATAATAGATGAATGAATCATAATGCATAAGAAGCTTCACATTGTTTAAATGAGACTTAATGGACTACCTTGTATTGAAGTGGATTGTCATGTATCTTGTGTTTTGTTGTGCCTAAGTCTTTAGCTTACAGCCTTACACAAATGTTTGTGATGTTGTTCGTCTCTGATTGTAATTAATAGATTATTTTGCTTTGAATTTTGTGTACTTTTTTGGAACTGATAGAATACTATCATTCCATTTATTCAAATTAAATAGTAAATAAAGTATGGAATTGATGAAATTAATCATTCCACATCATTACATTACAAAAAAATAGATAATCCAGTTATGTGATCTTTGACGTTTATATCACTGGTTTGTTTCCACCGTCCAAGTACATTGCGCTGAAAAAAGTAGACACACATATAATTTTGTCATGGCGGTTTTGAAATTTTGAGGATCATAAATTTAGTGAGAAA